TTAAGAGTATCATAGCATTCCTTTCTGGCATTGGTATAGTCACTGTCACTGCAACATTCGAAGTGTGAGGGTCAGTCAGCAAACCTTGAGCATGTCCTTACCAGAGTGTCTAGTCTTTGTTTGGGCGGAGGGCACTGCATGCATCGCGCGTGCATCTGAACATGCAAAAACAGATTAAATGATTTAATGCAAACTGGAAATTATCCATCAGGAAAAAAATGTGTATATATGTAAATATATAAAAATATGGACAAGTTGTCAAGTGCATAAGGCAACTCTTTTGTAGATGTGTTTCCCTCACCTGTTGTCCCAGGAGGCTTCTAAGGGTAATTGAGCACTGGGAACAGCCTGTCAGCGAGCTGCAGAGCCTTGCTGGAGAGCTGATTGCCCTGGGGTCTGTGACCTCTGCAGCAGCGACGGCGGCCTGCGCTGGTCGGGGAATCTTGGCAAGCACAAGTGGCTCAAAGCAGCTCTCTGGCTGTTGTGCTGGTTCTTGGCTGTCGGTGTTTGTCCCCACGAGCTGTCCCCGCAGCAGAGCTGCCTGGCGTGTGCATCGAGCGCTCTGGTAGCAAGCTGACGCCAGGATTTTGTTGCGGTAGGTGAGCTTGCTAGGGGTGTGATTCCTAAACAGATGCAGTTAAAGCCAACAAGTAGATCAACATCTGTTTTTGCACAAGGAAGAGGTAATAATTCCCTGTCTCTTATCTCTTTGCTTTGTAGTACCTTGCTCTTGAACCTTAGGTACTAAAATTTATCTTGTGCTTGGCGCTATCTAGGTGCCAGGTATGATACACAGAGGCTTTCTTGCGAAGATGATACTTTGACCCCAGTCCCAAGTTCTTGATCATGTTATCTGTGCTTTTCTGGTTTTGAAATATAATTATTCTGTTGGTATTATCGTGCCTTCTTGTTTAAAAGAAAAGTCTGTTCCTGCTTTGTGTCAGAACCGGGACTTGTGTAACTCTGCAGTGAGATGGGTTGGAGAAGCGACCTGGCAGAAAGCTCCCCTGCCAGAGGGAAGGTCTTCACCCGTGGCTGCTCACCCTAACAGTGTGGCTGCACCAGTGTCACTGCTGCTCGGTGGAGGCAGTGAGTGCCTGGGAATAAGGCAGAGGGCATTTGTACCTCTCATAAAAGTAGAATTCCTGCTCCTAGTAGCAGAAAGGATCTGCTCGATTAAAGCACTTGCAGGACTTGCACACAGAGGGAGGTGCTGTTTGTTGCAGTCTTGAGGGAAGATGAAAACTTCATTTCTTCTCAGAGGCTGGTAATACCATAAGCACACAAAGAGTTGCATTTGCAAACAGGTTTCCAAACACAAACAATGAGCAATGAGTTGCAGCACAGAGGAATGATGTCTTGTTTCTGATGTGGCTTGAATCTAATTCTATAAAATTACTGGAGATGGGTTGGAAAATGTCTTGCTTCATAAGATCTGTAGAAAAGACTCGTGTGCCATTGAGGATGACAGCTGAATGCCTGCTGCTCATGGTAGGCTCTAAATATCTGAATGTGATTGAACACCAAGGAATAATTGTATAGGAATAACACCAAGGCATAACTGGTTCTTTGGCAACCTATTTTGGAGGGGAAATGGTATAAGTGGTTTCTGTGTAGAAAGAGTGATCTGTTTACCTTCTAGCTTGGGGCATCAAACCAAAAAGCCAAAACTCATTGTATTTATTCCATCTAGCTGAATTTGGAGTATAACAGGTTTCAACCAATGGGAGCTCTGCTCATTTATTTAGAGATTACTCGTTCTTACAGCTGCCTCTTCTGCAGCCTATTTAAAACTCATGTTTATGGAAATTACAATAAAATGCACATACAGAAGCATGCAAGATGTGTATTTCCTTCGCTTAAATGAAAGCTCGGAAATGCGTGTGCTTCTGGCGAGGAAGCAGAGTCCTTGTCCCCTTTGTGCTGCAGCACGTGGGCACCTGTTGCCACCAAGGGTGGCTGGAGGAGCTGCTGCCTGCGTCCTGCCAGTCCACCGTGGGAATTGCCTATAAAATACATTACTTGTGCAGAAAGTCATCTCCTACCGACCATGCACTAAAACTAAGTGCAACTGAAGGCTTCGGCTACTGCGTGTTGTGGGTTTTTGGTTCAAACCCCAGCTCCAACACAGGGCGTAGGGTCTGGAAGCTCCTGTCCTGTCTGTGCCTGGTGCCTCTTGTTTGCTTTGGCAGGGACTCGTGATTAATAGAACATAGTCCAGGACAGTGTCATCGCAGAGATATTTTTCCTTTTCCCTTTGATAGTCTTGCACGGAGTGGTGTTCCCAGGCTGACTATACGTGTATGCTGCAGTTGTGGTTAAAATAAAGGAAACATAGAAATGAAACCCTTTTCTGTTGCTACTAGCTTCTCATGGATTTGGCCACTGCTGCTCATTTGAAACTCCATGACTTTTATGTTTCTGGACAGCTCCAGTGCTAAGGATATGGCACCATGTGTCAAATCTCCAGAAAGCAGCCACAGTGGATAAAAAAAAAAAAAAAATGTGCAGACAAAGAGTAATTTGTCAAGAGAGTTTGAGAAGGCGAGAAGGAGGCCTGCCTCTAGAAAAGGGGCTGGAGAACTGGCTGCCAAGGCACCAGAGCAGCTGGGGTTCTGCTGGTCCCATTCTGCCCTGATGGACAAATTCTGGTCCATAAGAGTCCATATACCCTTTTATTTTTTTTCCCCCACTCTCTTTATCTATAATGGCTGAAGAGTTTTGGCTATTCCCTTTTTTCTACTGTTCCTTATCCCTCTCCAAGGTGGATACTAAAGAGCTTGCTATAAATGCCACTGTGTGACCATCATCACGTACTGGCCTTCGTCTGGAAGCCATGGACCTGACCACACCGAAGCTGGTCATCTTCCTAATGGAAAAGGGCTCAGGAAGGTCAGAAGAAAAGTGGCTCAATACACAGTGACAGGCAGGCAGGACAATAAAACACTCTGCTCAGGTGCCTTTTAATCTGGAACTTTAATGATCTCAAGAGCAGAGAGCAGAGCGGAGGTCTCTGGCAGCCTATCCCAGCAGTGAGGTTTTAAGGATCCAGTTTGCTGAACGACCTTCAGCTTTCCTGAGGTTTCTCTATGTAATGGAAACAGAAAATGTGTATCGGTATTAATGATACAAGACACAGCATTTTGGCTTAACTATTACATGAAATTTTACTGCTGGAGAGTAAAATTCATGTAGAATTTAATATTAGACTCTAACAAGTAACTTAACAGCTGTCACTTCTGATAAATGCAACATTCCTGCATTGCTTCCACTACCAGCAATGCTTCCTTTTTTTTTTCCTGCTGCTGACTAGCAATTACTGTTCTGAAATCTCTTTAATTTAATCTTCAATCCTTGTTAGCCCCAAGAAAGAGAAATACACACAAATCTGTCAGTGTTCTCAAGCTACAGCATAAAGCATCCCTTGCTTAGTTTCTGCTTCCACTTAAAAGGGAAAAAATGACCTTTTTTTTTTTTGTCAAAGTGACTGAAATGTGAGCAGATCTGGTTGCCATGCGTCTCTTCAGTGGCTGCTCTGGTACCTGCAGGAACTTTCCTCTACCATGACTGAAAATTTGAGGGCATTTTTTTTCCACCTCTTCTTTTTCTTTTTAGAGATTTGATTTCTGCTTTTCAGATGGATGTACCCAAGCAGAAAAGAAAGGTGCATACAAGATATTTCTGTAACAGACTTTCTAATGAGGTCACTGTATCAAGTTGTCTTTTGCAATGGATATCCAACATCTGGGACCTTTTCTAAAACCTTTTGGTGCTTCTTCAAGCATCAGAGAACAATTTGTATCATGCTACTATTTCTAATTAGCATTTCTATAATTTCAGAAGCATCAAAACCAAAGAAACTTACATTTGCTCAGGATTTTTTGTTTGTTTGTTTAAAGTTTGGCTGACTTTACAAACTCATGGGTGTTTCCTAGAGCTTTTCTATCACCCACAAAATCTCTCTCCCGCCCTAGTGCTCCTGGCAGTGATTTTTTTTCCCCCATTTATTCTTGCAAGGGGAACAACTGAGACTTCCCTTTCCTCATCGTCTTCCACAGCACTTAATCTTCATGGTCCCTGCCAAGCTTGGCTGAACTGGGCCAACAAGCTCAGAAGTTGCTGGCATAGCTGCAGAGCGTGACCGCAGCAGGCTGCTTCCCTAAACAGCGCTGCGTCTGTCTGGCCTGCTGTAAACTTCTCCGGGGTCATTTTTATGAAAACCCTGCATCTTGCACCCAGTACCAGCCTGCACCACTGCTGGCAAGGTCACATGAAGTTACGTATATTGTCTCTAATGTTTACAGTATCCACAGCTGTGTGCATGCAAATCATCCTGATCTAATTTTAATGCAGTAGTTTGTACACCATAGGGTGGTGGACAGATGACATTTACATTCGTTAAATGGACTTACCAAACTTCTGGGAGCACGCTGTGTAACTACAGGCTCCAGAACGAGTGACTTGTCCCACAGTCTTGTTTGTGTGAGCTATATTAATTGGGGAATGTAGAGCATGAGTAAAAGGAGACCTGTAGGTAGGTAGAGGCCATAGAAATGCAGGAAAACTCATATGAGAGTAAAGTGGGAAGTGAGAAGTGCGAGTTTGTAAAGAGACCTGAAGCAATGAAATAATGAAATACACCCAGAAGATAAGCTTCTGGTTTTTGGGGTGTTTTTTTGTTTTTTTTTTTTGTTTTTTGTTTTTTGTTTTTGGTTGTTGTAGTTTGTTTGTTTTTTTCTTAAAAGAACAACTAAATAGCCAACAAAACCAAAGGTCAGTAACCTAGTCCTCTATAGGCACCATCATGGCCAGACTATAGGAACCTCAACAGGACATGGTGCTGGATGTACAGCTGGGACCTGTGCATCAGTAAAACCTTCCCTGCCACTCATAAAACTAGGGCCTCTAACACAGAGTGATAGAACTGGAGTGCACCAGTAGTGATATGTTTGCCTAAATGAGAGCTAATGAGATATTCTGTGTTTCTTTTTCTCCTTAGCCAAGTATCCAGAGATCAAGGCTCTGATGGGACCAGATCCACATTTAAAGTGGATAGTATCCGGAATGGTTTTTGTGCAGCTTCTAGCATGCTACTTGGTGAAAGACTTATCCTGGAAATGGGTTTTCTTCTGGGCCTATGCTTTTGGGGGATGCATCAACCATTCCATGACCTTAGCCATCCATGATATTTCACACAACGTCGCCTTTGGGAACAAGCAGACCAAGTGGAACCGATGGTTTGCGGTCTTTGCCAATTTGCCTATTGGAATTCCTTACTCTGCCTCTTTCAAGAAATACCACATTGACCATCATCGATACCTTGGTGGGGACAACCTGGATGTCGACATTCCCACTGACTTTGAAGGCTGGTTCTTCTGCACGCCGCTTCGGAAGCTGCTGTGGCTCTTCCTCCAACCTCTGTTCTACAGTCTGAGACCACTGTATGTGAACCCCAAAATAATTACCCAAATGGAAATTTTTAATGCTATTGTGCAGTTTTCTGTAGACCTTGTGATCTACTACTTTTGGGGGCTCAAACCTATTATTTACTTAATAGCAGGTACAATTCTTTGCATGGGCTTGCATCCCATTTCTGGGCACTTCATAGCAGAACACTACATGTTTTTAAAAGGGTATGAAACATACTCTTATTATGGACCTCTGAACTGGCTCACCTTTAATGTAGGCTATCACATGGAGCACCATGACTTCCCCAGCATTCCCGGGTGCAAACTGCCAATGGTAAGTACAGCATGAGCAAAAGTGAATTGGTTTTTATAAAAACTGTTGAATTGTTTCCGAAAAATCACTCCAAGTCGTAGATATGGATACATTCTTAAAAAAGAAAGCTTTTTGGATTAGTTTTGATTTTTTTTAACAGAAGATTGAAAGAAATGGCTGTCAAACTGCTTTAGTATTTAGTTTATTGGAAGGAAATGGGAACTTCATTGTCTTGAGGAGCTTGAGTAATACCTTGCTCATAAGACTGTTGTTGGAGTCAACAATGGTCTAAATTTCTCCATTTCTTTCCACTCTCTGCAGTTTGGTCTCTTTGAAATTTTAAAGGCTCGTCTGAGCTAAGATAGGAGGCAATCATTGCTTGAATTTTGTCTGATGAACAATGTATTAGCTATATACAAAGCATCAAGCAACAGTCTATTTTTTAAGGTGATGCAAGTACTGGGGCATGTTCCAATCTGACACAAATAACACCCCTGGAAAACAAGAGCCCACCGTGTGTGATTTGCTTTAGCTCTGCTGCCCCACCGCAGATACTGAAGACACCTGGTGTGCCATTGAGAAAGCTCTGTGGCTTTCCTCCTTTCGAAGTCAAGCCCTTTGCATTTTATCAGTTGTGGGAATCAAACTTGCAGAGCCCAGCTGTGTAGGCACGGTTCTGTACTTACCTCCAGGTATACAGATGCTCTTTCGGGTGTTCATACGTGAGGGAATTCTTTAATAGCAGTTCTCACAGGGTTAGAGGTACGTGATGTCGAAGCATTACTCCTACACACCAATCTGCTGGCACAGAAGTAAGCAGCAAACATCTTCTGTCTCTGGTGTAATGCAAAGTTGGGAGCTACTACTGCAACATCCTCATGAGGAGGAGGTATTGCTGAAGAGACAGTTCGGGACAGTTCAGGAACTGTGACCTCCCTACTACTGTATAACAGAGAACATATCCAGGCAAATTCAGTTTGGGAACCTTGCTTCAGTGGATTAATATTCTTCATTGCAAAAACACTGTTTGAGAGGAAAGTCAATGCAAGAAGAGATCACCTTGTGGTGTAGTAGAGCACCAGGAGCCTTATATAGCCTCCAATTATTTCTTAACATATCCCACTTCTGGAGATGGCTCCTGGAGAACTTGACTATTCCTGGTGGGAGACAAAACACCCCATAAGGCAGCCAATGTTTACAAGCGAAGGTCTCATGACAGGCACTCCCGTTGCTCCTGGAGCTGGTAGCTCAGCTAGCAAGTCTATGAGCATAGCTTTAGTTTCAAGTGTTCAAACTTGTGAGAGGTGTAGAGATGCTTAGATTACTGAAATGTAAATACAAGAAGAGGAGGAGGTTAGCACTTTATCTTACACAAGGGAAATAAGTGACTAATTGAACCTGCTGGGACTGTTGCTCCAGACCTGAATGAGATCTGAAATGCTCTTCCCCACCCACATCACAAACAGTTTAGCCTAATCCCTCCAGGCAGTGCAGCCCTAAAAGTGTTCACCCTGCTTTGTGAAGTGGATGAAGCTATTAGTCGAATTTCGAGGACTTGTCTTCATATGTTTCTAGCTGTAGGGCAGCTGAGACCTGCCCTGCTGATGGAGATGCACATGGAAAACTCTGAGTCTTGACGCGCGGTCAGTTACAAGTGAAAATCTGTTATGAAGTGGAAAACCTTAGGCAAACATCCGCTGTAGAAAGTCCTTATTCTGTTAAAGCAAACAGACTATCCTTTTTCACAAATCAAGAACAAAAATTATCTAACTTTTTGGTGGAAGGGGGTGTGGGGACAACTTTTTTTTCATAACAAGTAGAGGCAGAAACATCCCCTTGCTCTTCTCCCATCAAATCCTTCAATGTAAAGGAGTGAAAGTTTAGAATTTTCAGTCTCTTAAGCTACTCATATTTTTGGTGTCTTAAGCACTCAGATTTCCAATAGTTGATTTGGGGATGACCAAAGTTTAGCTCTTTTTACTTGTAGGTATTGGTGAGCATAAGGTGAAAACAAGGTGCTTCCTCAGCTACTGCATATTTGGGGCCAGAGGGGATATAGATTTAGAAAAATAAGTGGGTCTTGAGCTTGGAAAGTAATGGATCTTCCACCTGCTTATCAGAAAGATAAGCTCATCTTCATCCTGTGTTATAGGTGGCTCATTCAAAATGTACCAAGTAATACGTTTGCCACTGAAAAGACATATGCCCTAGCTCTGTGGCAGATTTGAAGCAGGAATAATTAGGCTGTGCCATAAGCTTTTAGATATTAGAGATGAGTGACATGAATGTGCAGTAAGAACTTGTCCTACTAGTACAATAACAGTTCATGCGAGAGAGCATGAAATTCAACAGTGGAGTGAAGGGTTTGCTCTAAAAAATACCGGTAGACTTAGGACTAGGCTTGTCTTTGCATGAAGCTTTATAACAATAAAATATTGCATTCTTTACTGAATGAATAAAGAGCCATCCTTCTTTCTGAAGGATGGGTTGTCCTTATGGTGAGAGAGGAAGGGAGAATGAAGAGGAAAGTGCCACTCTCTCTGCAAGCTCCAATGAAAGCTGGACTGTTACCAGAGGCAAACTAGTTATTCATTAAGCTTGTGGGAAAAGGAAAAGGCAAGGTATGAGCAGAGATTTCTTATACAGACAAGAAAACATGGTAGCTCTGCACTTTTTGAAATAGAGATTTCATTAACCCTGTGATGTCCAGGAGGACTAGCTTGGGTGCTTCCCTACTTCATCCGACTCCAAGTCAGGGAGTGTTTAGGGAACTCCTGCAATACGCTTTCCAGGATTGTAAACAGCATCCTTCAGCTTCCTGTTATAAGGATTTTGTTCCTGTATAACCTCAGGACAAACGGTGTAAAAGCTACGGTCAAATGCCTAGGTGGCTTATAACCTCTGTGCCTTTCTGATAATAGGAGGGGGTCCTAGTAGAATCAGGGTCCTGTTGCTACTGTGTAAGATAAAAATCAGAAGCAAAGTTTCAGTCCAAAAAGTTGTTATTTTCTACTTTCACCTTGACTTACCTGTAGCAAAGCCTCAAATTACCAGTTGCCAAGTACCTAAATCAGTTATTTGCAGACACTATGCTTGCATTATCCATCCGCGACATCTTCTCATCAAAAACTAGTGATGAATTAAGACTTAAGATTTCCGTGTGTATGGACAGTCCAACTTCCCAGAGGGTCCACTGAAGCAAATGGACGCTTTCCAATCAACATGGAGAGCCTGAGGGTGAAGTCAGGAGTAGGAGGATCCCGGTCTACTTTGTTATAATACTGCCTTCCTTGAGGTGACAGTAACACCAACTCCAAAATTTGCTATCTGCAAACTCATCCACAGCTTTTGTACAGTGCCCAGAATACAAGATGAAGGTGACTTATCCCCAGCTTTCTGAGATCTTTGCGGTAATTTTGTTTTGCACAGAGAGATGCCCAAAAAAATGACACCACCAGAGTTGTTTTTGCCAGGTACCTTTTTTCTGTGCCACCATTGTCAAGAAGAGAGCACTTTTTTTTTTTTTTTAACCTGTATGGTAATACAAGAGATATAAATAAACACCCAGCAAACTTCTGGTAAATTTCATAAGAAAACCTTTCAGCTGTCACTCCTACCTCCTAACTGCATCCATTAAATTTTTCCTCTTCCCCATTCCTTTGCCAAAAACACATTCTTGTGGTTTATTTTCTCCCCTTCCTTGTTTCTACACATCTGATGTAGTTTTCTTGCTCAGGGCACCAGGAAGTTGCATACGGTGCAAACACCACTTGAATTCCTGCACAACTTGCTGCTGGGCGCAAAGCAAAACAGAGGAAGGAGCAAAAAGCTGCTTTAGGTGTGAGTTACAGTTCAGCAGCTGATATAGGGTAACCTAGTCTTATACGAGACTTATATGAGACCTTGGTCATATTGACCATCTCATTCAGAAAGACCTGCTGCCCTGCTGAGTTGCTGAAATCTTACATTCCACGGGCAAGTCCTCAGTCACTCGATGCTGGCCAAGCAGTGTGCTAGTCTTGGCTAAGGCTACCTGCTTCCAAAATATGGTATAGGTGATCTTCAAAATTCAGTGCTGGGTATGTTGATTATCTTAATTATTAAATAATAAATGTATTTGGGATGGCACCTTTAAATCTGTTGCGCTACTGCAAAATATGGGTATGGAGTATGTTTAAGTGCAATTTCTGAACTTGCAGGTTGAGCACACACCGGCTCTTCAGTGCTACACCCAGACCAGTCTGCTAACCAAGTTTGCTCAATGTGCCAAAACCACTGGGTCTGGCATAGGCAGATTGCACACACTGGCCTCTCTGCTAAGCCTGTTTTGTCCTACTTCCTCCCCGGGGTCATTTTCAATTAGCCTCATGTGCCAGGAGGCACAACTATTACCTGAGCCCTTGTTCCTGGGTACAAAAGCAAAAGCTCTTGAAGCCGGTGTAGGTTACACAGGCTGTGTCTGCAGGCGGTGGCGCTGGCCGTGGAGCCAGCAGCGAGGAGGGCTGGCTTACAGTTTAACTTCAGTGGCAACCCTTACCTTGCCACAAACAGGCCCAGTGCTGGGTGAGGTTAGCCCATTAAGCCTCAGGTTCTGCCTAGCACCCTCCACGCAGGTGACCATTTGTATGTGGCTCTTCTGACCTTCACCCAAAGCTCTGCTGTGCTCCATGCCGCTAGAATTCGGCAGGGTTTTCAAGGCAGCAAGTCATGGTGCTTGGCAAGGCCAGTCCTCTGAGCTGGAGCGTCCCGGGGAGCACGCTGTTTGCTCAGGAGGTGGGGTGCCAGTAAAACGGTGCCTGGGAGGGTTTGTGCAAACGTGCAGCAGCTGCCAGGCTCCGCCGAGCTGCTCCCATCGCGCGTGCTCCGGAACAGAGCGTTGGGAAGGAAGTAGGAACAGGGACAACTGGTAACTCCGGAATCCTAATAGTCCCGTAACCTGCACGTCTGAAACTCTTATGTCTTCCGAGTTGAGTCTTCGCTTCTGCTAAAAACACCACCATCTCCAATACACAGGGCTGCTGTGGTGGGAACAGCTTTTAAACCCGTGGATTTTAATAGGGATAACACTGTATTAGACTCATGATCTACTAGCAAATATCATAGCACTTTTAACACTGGATGGAGGAGAGCAGCCCCCCCGCCTTCAACCTCCCCTGGCTGGTGGAGGAACCTGCTTTTCCGTTGTGCATCTTAGTAGCAGAGCAGAGCTAAACCCGCAGCTGTCACCAGGGCTCTGCTGCTTTCAGCAGCTAGTGCAGCACGTGGAAAACAGCGATTTCAATGCTGTGTATTGGGAGTCTTGCAATGTATAAGATAGTTATCTTATGTGGAGATTCCTCCACCTCACGCGTAAGAGAAAAGTTCTGACTAATCCAGATGCAGAGATCCATCATCTTGCAAATGCTGTGAAGCAAAACTCACTGCAGAGCTCTGCTTAGAAGTATCCAGATGCGTTTAAGCATATCCTGCTTTGGCTGAGCTCCAGAAGCCCACGTGCACTACCAAGTAACTTTACTTGGTGGCTGGGCTACCTGATCTGAGCAGACTACTCAATGCACCTGGCACTGCACAGCTAACTACCTTGTTCTGTCTCTCTTGTTCTTCCAGGTGAAGAAGATTGCAGCAGAATACTATGATAACCTCCCATACCACCTGTCCTGGATTCAGGTTCTTTGGGCGTTTGTCTTTGATGACACTATAGGTCCTTATTCAAGGGTTAAAAGACTCTGCAAGCTGGCAAAAGCGCAGTAATAGAGAAGCTCCAGTGACTGCCCTGGTGTTTTGCTTGTTTGTTTGAATGAGTTGAGTTGTCAGCAATGGTAGATGGCTGGTTCCGTGTGTGTGTGTGTGTGCTGAAATACCACCCGTCTGTGCTTCATGTCTCCCTGGAAGAATAATGCAATTGCAGGCACTATTTTAGTATATTGACACTTTTAAATAAAGGATATATGTTTATGTAATACTGATAATCTAGATTAGAGAAAGCTATGCTTATGTGAACCTCTAGTCTAGATTTAAAATTAACTTCCTCATCCAGGACTGTGTCTAAGTGTGTTTGCAGGCCTGTTCTGCAAAGGAGAGTGCTGTGTGTGTGTGTGTGTTTTGGGGCTGGTTTCTCTTCAGGCCAGCTTAGATGCCTAGCCCCATGCAAGAAGCGGGGGCCTGGCGTGCAGTGGTAAATTATGCCTTCTGTAAGAACCCAAGGGTACTTTTAGCTTGAAGTCTTTACTAATCCAGTATCTTGCTTCTGACCATGGCTGGTAGTTCAGATTCAGTCTAAGAAAGATAATATATGGATATTTTGTCATTATTTTAGTAGCTATTGTTTGACCTTTACTTCAGGAGTTTTCTAAACCTGTCATGAATCCCGTTTTATTCTTGGGATACAGTGTTCACTGTAACTTGCTGGCACAGCTAAATAGTGATGTGGAGAAAAACTTTCTTCTGTTTGCAGTGCCTCATCAGCTAATCGGATGTGCCATAACTTTGGTTGTGAGGCATCACGAGTAGTTCTTTCCTAGTCACCTTTTCGACAATCTCTACCTTCATGTTTCTCATACTTGTCACCACTGGAGGCCCTTTGGAGCATGGAAAGATTCTAATTTTAATTGCTGCCTGCAAAGGGTGTTGATAGTTCTGATAATCTTTCTCGCATTTCTCTATGTTTTTTATTCTTTTCTCTATACTCTTCTCTATATGCTTTATTTTCTGTCTACATCCCCTGCATTCTATCTCCCTTTCTGCAAAGAGCAAGCAGGAATACAAGGATCCATTATGGTGAGGTTTGTTCCTAATTGCTTTCAGAATAATTGTAATTGTTCTTTGCTCCCTGATGGGAGGGGCACTGACTTCTTTTTGGGGGGAGCATGTGATAGTCCCTCACTGTTAGCCTTCGGGGGATGCAACTACCCAAGTGTCTGACTCCATACTATTGGCACTGACCTTCATCTGTCGTTTTGTACTAATTGGGCTTAAACCTTCCTGCACCTCTTCTCCAACCACTGCCTTCTGGCTATCCTCAGCAACTCTCTACTGTCAAAAACCTTTCTCCAGTCTCCTTGTCTGTTTGATTATGACAGTAGGGTAAATACCCTACTCTCTTGGTGCAAGATCCCTTGTGACTCGAGCTGGATACTGGCTCATTTACAGATACTGTTGTGCTCTGAATGTTTGGTTTCTGGAAAAAGAGAAGAAGAACAGGACTTCTGCTGAATGTCAGACTTCCCTGGCTCTTCAGATGACTTTTCCCCAAAGAAATGTTTGGTGTGGGAACATACAGTAACATCTTTGTATCAACACTAATCTCAGGGAGCTTCACTTATCTATTACTTTGCCCCAGAGCTGCTGGGTCTCCACGATGAACTACCTGTGTCCTTAGCAAGCTGTTCTTCAATTTCCTTGGCCAACTTTAGCAAGTTAATATAAAAGCCATAATAAAGCTTATGTTGTCTTCCTCATCCTGACTATTGTAGTTTTCCTTTATGTAGTGACCTTCTGCCTTGAATTTCCCTTACTCAGCTGCTCCAATGCAGTCACCAAGGATGTGCACTGGGTAGACTCATGGCCTAGCCTGACACAGAGGCTACAGGTAGACTGGGGATAACTCTGCTTGGCCACTGCTTCCTCGGCCTGCCTTCATCGGCGTTTCAGTCCCTGCCTCCTGACTATTGTAGTTTTCCTTTATGTAGTGACCTTCTGCCTTGAATTTCCCTTACTCAGCTGCTCCAATGCAGTCACCAGTGTGCACTGGGTAGACTCATAGCCTAGCCTGACACAGAGGCTACAGTTAGACTGGGGATAACTCTGCTCGGCCACTGCTTCCTCGGCCTGCCTCCCATCGGCCTTTCAGTCCCTGCCCCAACTTCCCATGCCTGGACAGCACCACAGCCTCGCTGATCCTGTCTCTCCAACAAAGTGAGAATTTCAAGTTGCTGGAACTTCTAGTGCTTGCGGATGTGCAGTGTGAGTTTTAATGCGTGATTTATGTTGGTGCCGCTGGGCAGAGCTGTGATCCTGTCTTCTCCTTGGGCACTTGTCCTTGTCACCACCAATGATGCTGACAGAGGGTTTGCTTATTTGCTTAACACATGGCGATTGTGACTGGGTTGAAAGAACATGAGAATTTTATTGTCCTAGCTTAAAAAATAACCTGGCTTCCCCTTCATTATGCTGCCACGCAAATGCTCTGGCAAGAGGAAGCAGGTGAGCCACGGGTGGGGACAAACCACCACATGATGGTGGGAGGGGAGGTTAAGGTCCCTTCTTGTTAATGCTGACTTGGCTCATCCAGCTCAGACCTTGTCCCTGGCAAGAAAAGGGACCTCCGGCTCCTGCTGATCCTGAACTGGGCCTGAGCTGTGCTGGGATGTGGTGTGTGGCTTCTACCACAGCTATCCAGGGCCAGGCCAGCAGGTTCATAGCAAAGCCACTCATCTCTGGCCCTGTTACTTAACTAGTGTAGTTACAGCCTCAATCTTCAGAGGTGGATTTACCCGTTGGTGACACATAGCGCTGGGGGAGCGGCCCGCATTTACACGAGGTGTCACTGCTTCTCCTAGTCAGCCATGGCCTCCACCCCCAAGTCTTGGGCCTCTACTCCCACAGCTACTAACTGACGCTGTGCAAGTGTCAGGTCATTGTATCTGAATTACATGGGGCCCGCGGAGGTATGAGAGGAAGAACAACTCATTTACAACAGGTTGTTAATGTTAACAGAGGGCCACAGCACACAGGAGCTTAGCCTGCATTTCAGACACTGTTGTTAGTGACCCTAGGCATAATGCCACATTCCAAGACAACATGAACTGTGCCAGGCTCAAACTGCCTGCAATTTAAGGATTAAGATTATGGGAGTGTTTCACAGAACGGTTGTGATCATCTGGGAGGCAAGAGTTTCGAGAAGTGCTTGCACGTGTCAGGTATCCCATTAAATGAGTTTATAATTAAGAAACACTCGAGCTATTGTATGGGATTTATGCACTAGACCTTTACAATCTTGTTAGTGATGCCTGACCCATGAGCTGTTGAAAGTTGAACTGAAGTACTGACGAAATGTTTGCTCTTCCTAGCTGCAAAGGCCCTTTGTCTTGGTCTGGACTTTGCAGTACTGTGTTGCACATCTATCTGTGTCTTTTGGCCTCATTTCTGATGTGGAAATCTTGCCCCACTATCTAACCTTCCTCCAGCCTTCCACTCGGGAAGCTGGGATCTGGCTAGTTAGCATTAGATCGCTAACAGAAACCGGGCTCCAGAGCTCGTAGCTGAATTATTAAACTTACATTTCTCCCATAGAAAAGCTATTCTTGTATTTAATTTGCAGTACAACCATAGTGATAAAAAAAAGTCAGACAGGGGTTGTTCTGAAGGAGAGACATCCATGGTCCGAGCTAAATACATAACATAACTAAGTGCAACGCGTGCACTACCTTCTCCCAGCCTCTCGTCTAGCTTCTTGCTCAGACTCAGTTCTCCCCATGTTGTACCTGTTTTTGCCCTTTATCTTCAGGAAGGCTTGAAGTAAAGTGAGGCCTTTTGGAAATTGTTTGAAGGACTTCAATAGCTGAGCTCCAATCACTTACCTTTCACACAAAGTTATCAAGATGGTATCAGGAGCGTTGCCTTGTAAAGCACTGAACCAAGTCAAGCAGAAAGCCCCAGGGTTATGTTTGGTAGAGAGAATGGCTCTCTCTACAGATTGTACAACCAGCGAGATGCAAGCGGCGCACGCTCAGCCACCCTGGTGCCGTGTCCTGTACGACTGTCTCAGGCTTCAGTTTGATTGAAACAAAGCTCTCCAAGAACTGCAAAATATGAAATACTAACCAATGACTCCCCTTAAGCCTCTAGTGCACCCATGTTGTGCTAGTGACTCCAGCTTGCTGTGGCTGCAATGCCTGACTGCCGTGAGTAGTCTTGTTCTGAATAAACATCTGCCTTTTATTTACTAGAAACTCTCAGAAGAGCAGGTGACGGGACTGCTTTTTTGGGGATGAGAGGAGGTAAGCGCAGTGAATGTGATGTGCCCACATGGAATGTGAAATGTGAGTTACCTTCCCGTCATCCTCTCCAGGGCCTGTAGCACTGGCAGGAAAACAAACCAAAGTGAACTGGAAGTGCTAAACCTTAGGGGACTAATAAATCAAAGAAAAGCAGGGCCATGTGGACAATAAACAGTTTATTAGCAATATGAACACAGATACTGTGATGCACCGACGTACCATTTTTTTTTATATTGTGATAACTCTGAGACAAAGAACTTGTTGGCCGACAACTAACATGTCTCTGTTTCTTCTGGTGATGCCACAATACATTTCCATTGGCAAAGGATCTTCATTTACATTGCAGACTACTAATAAAATTACTTTGAAGTAATCTATTAAAAGCAAATGGTTCACGTGTGTTCTTATCTACTACTAAAAAGAAAGGTAATACATTTAAATAAGCAAATACAAAATACAAAAAAGGCTGACAAATCCAATGTGCAGTGTCAGATGAAATCTAAAAAATCCAGAAATTTAAAATTTAATATTCTTTAGATTAAGACTTTTAAAATGAAGCGAATCCAAGGCAGCAGCAAGCTTCAAAGTGTGCTGAGTCTGCTAATAAAAAGGGTATAAGAACAAAGACAGTGCCGGTGTCCTCTCTCACCATCTTGCATGACCTTGGTACACTTAGAAATGATCCGATCTTCCTAGCATTCTTAGTACCGTCCAAATGCTTTGCAATCATTATGTTGTACTGATTCTACTCAACTCCTGCCGTATGGCTAGAAAACCAAACCAAAAAGTTAATGCAAAAAGTTACACCCCGTGTGGCGGACAACGCTAAGTAAAGAGGTTGCAGAAAGTACAGGCTGCTAAAAGGATGAGTGGAGGGCAAAGGATGAACAAGGGAAAGCTGTTTGCTTGCAAACTGCAGTATTGGTTTAAGAATTTGCACCTGTGATTTACACAAATGTCTTATTTTGCACTGGAATGGACTAGGAAGGCTCTGAAGGCCAAGCTGCGAGGACGGTAACGTGCAGGCGAGGGGCTGCTCAGCTGCTACTGCCCGGCTGCTCTGTGCGGCCTAGGGCACAGGGATGGGGAATGGATTTTAGCTGTTTTACCGTTTCCTCTTTTTTTTCCCCTCTTGTATGAATCTAAGATAGGAGTGAAACCTATGGGCAAGCCTCTTCATGTGCTTTAATGTGGGCTTCAAATAGGTATTTTGCTGTGTGTTTCAGTGAAAGCAGTTTTATGCGGCCTTGCGCTCCGTTATGTTGGCCCAGAAAAATATATATACTCATATAACACAGAGCAATTTCTTAAAAAACATGGATCCATTTATCACTGCTCTTGCACTTTCATTGAGTTAGAAAAACTATGTGGCTACTTGGAAGGTCCTACCCAGTGGATAGAGTGAAGGTTTGAGGTTACCTGCAGAAGATGCTCAGGAAAGACTTTTTTTCAGTTTGGGACCTTTGCCAGACTGACAGTTTGGTACCTGAACGTCAGGCTGGTTACAAGTGATTTTTGTGATAAAGTGACACACAACTGGGCTACCAGCAGGCCCTTTCATACACTCCCACCTCTGAGACACACAGGACAGTGCATTTCTCACAGTTTGGAAGTGAAAATGATCTCAACAGCACACAAATAAAAGATGCAAATGCAACGCAGTGATCACAGCTCACAGTGTCAAGGTAGACACTTGTTCTTCAAATGTGTATATAAACCAGAGCTGCTCAAAAAATTCTGGGAACACCACGGAACTCTGCAGTTCCTGTCGTCTTATCTACAGGAAATTAGTCATAAATATGAGAAAAATAATAATTTTTCTCTTTCTTACCATCAATTATCTCCTCTTTCACTTTGTGTAACTCTCTTACAACTTCCTCCAATATTTCCTGATGAGACAAAACACAAGTCAGCTGCTCAGAATTTCCTTCTAACTGGTGGAAGAAAATGCAAGTTTAACACACTTGTGCTGTGTCCCCCACCTCCACTGATGGTTAAATCCTAGCACTACTGACAGGTTTGTCTGCAGTCCTAGGACAAGGACACAGAAGATGCTGGCGTTATTTACTCGCATGTTTCTGTACAGACATTTTGATCCAACAGCATTGAGATTGTGCCCTCCTGCTGCTCATCAACTATCCCTCCTATTAGCACCTGGTTATAGAGGAAATCAGAGGACTGAACAGCTGTTTTGCTTGTACAGCGCATGCATGGGGGAAAATGGGTAGCTCATCAAAATCTCCAAACATGAAAGACCTTTTTGCTCACCTGTTTCATGCGATCGAAATCTAAGGCATCCATAGCCACATCATTGCTGCTGCTCACTGGCTTCATCCTTGAGAAATGGAAACAGAGGATAAAAAAACAAGTGGGTCAGGGCCTCGCAGTAGCTGCTACGCTCTGTCCACCCAGCTGGAGGAGATGAAATCCAGGCAGAAAGCGTGGGCTCTCCCCCTGCACTGCTCCCTCTCGTGCTGCCCAAGGAAGCCCTCCCACCCTCGGCCTGCCCTGCCTTCCCGCACCGAACATGCACTGCAGGCTCTGCAATGAAACCTCTACCTTTTCTTCTCAAGAATTTTAACCTAATAACAACAAGATGTCTTTAGGGTGTAAAGACTACTAAGAAGGCATTTTATCACAACATTGGCAGTTTGCAAGATGAGTGTCTAGTTTTCTTTCTTTCCCACTCTGTTTTCTGTACAACAAACCAGTCTTGGCCAAATAGGCTTTAATCTGTTGCTTAAATAACAGTGCAATTCAGTTTAGCAAAGATTACTAGTAAAACAATAATCCAGTAATTGTTTCTTTGGAAGGCCTGACCTGAGCCTATGCTATAGATATCACTATATAGGAGAGGCACTTCTCCTTGACCAAGAAGTATAAACGACCTGCCCTTAATGTCTGATACACTTGGGTGCTATCAGTCTCTCTGCTCACAGGAGTACATTAGTGAGTGAGCTCAGACCTGTGTGGTTTCTTTTTTTTTTTTAATCAGTAACTATAGAAGTGAATCATACTATACAGTTTGTAGAAAATGTTTCAAGTAACTTTGCCATCATCTGTGGTCTCAAACTGAGGGCTGATCAAGATTTCACTGGTGCTATGGTCCTGCTTGGGTCTTCCAGTCCTTTCTTGGGAAAATCTTTTGTGTTTCGTACATTTTCACAGTTAAGTTGGAAGTAAGAACAGACATGGATACTATCAAATTGAGCAGGAACAGAAACAGGCCACAGCTTTCAAACCCTGCTGCTCGTCCCCGCCAAACCGTATGAGCAGGCAAACATTCAGCACTGCTCTGTGTGTGAAACTATGAACGGAGCTTTCCCACTGAACTCCTCCCAAAACGAATGGCATTATAGCTGATAGCTATAGCTGACTGCTGTTTTAAATAGCATGTTTAAATAGCATGTTTCATTCCCACTTGCAAGGATAAATAAAGATCTTTTCTGTGTCTATTGGAAACTATCACATGTTTCCTAGAACCATGGAGTCTTATTGCTTTTAGGAGAGTTGCAGAGACTACATTTTGCTTTACTAACACCAATGCATCCCTTTAAGTGTTAGGGCAGGGAATACCCCAGCAGCAGTAAACCTGTAACATGGGTATCGGACACTGGCAACTTTCTGTCTGCACTGTATGGGCACTGTAGTACAAGCAATAGTGTTAAATAAAGAATATTTCTCTGCCCTAAGTGCTAAACATGCAAGCCTGTGGTTTACCTCCTATTGCAGCCTGTCCTTCCCTCTCAGTGTTCAGTACTGCAGGGACACAGGGTGGACCTGGACCAGGAACCCTCTTTTTAGCTGTCCAATATCAAACATGAATCTATGGGTAAGAATGGGGCGATGCTGCCGTTGCACTGTTCTGACTGACAGAACTGCC